CCACCTCTGACCTCTGCCTCTGCAGAGTGGGTCCAAAGACTGGCACAGTCAGGAGGTCTGAGAGTGCGGGGTGAGGGGTATAGGGGTTCAGGGGCGCCCACACAGCTACCTTCTTGGTGCTTGAGCGATGGCGGCTGAGTCGGGAGCAGGCGTGGCTCTCCCTCCTGTGGTAGATCGGGGCCCAGGCTACCTTCCCGGTGCTTGAGCAATCCTCTGCCTCTGCAGAGTGGGTCCAAAGACTGGCACAGTCAGGAGGTCTGAGAGTGCGGGGTGAGGGGTATAGGGGTTCAGGGGCGCCCACACAGCTACCTTCTTGGTGCTTGAGCGATGGCGGCTGAGTCGGGAGCAGGCGTGGCTCTCCCTCCTGTGGTAGATCGGGGCCCAGGCTACCTTCCCGGTGCTTGAGCAATGGCAGCTGGGTCGGGAGCAGGTGTGGCTCTCCCTCCCGTGGTGGATCGGGGTCCAGGCTACCTTCCTGGCGCTTGAGCAATGACAGCTGGGTTGGGAGCAGGCCTGGCTCTCCCACCCGCAGTGGATCAGGGCCCAGGCTCGAGTTCTTCACATTTTGAAAATTATTCTTATTTAAATTCCATGAATTCAGTTTGCAGAATACCACTTTATGTTAAATTGTTCCTTTATAATTACTTTGATGTTTTCTTTTTTACAAATATATTTGGGGAAGACTATTTTATCGTCACTATTAGTTATAAGTCACTATCACAAGTATATTGGCTTTGTACACAAAAGGTGGAATACTGAGACTCCTCTGCTTGTGAACAGTACAGCTATAAAAACTTACTTAACTCCACCTGTTCACAATTGTAAAGTGATTTTCAGGGATTTCTACTTCTGTCATTTCCAACAGTTAGATAATGAATTGTTACTTCAAAGACTTAAAACTATCCTCATTGCTGATAAATGTTTAAATGTTTTTTCCCTAAATAAACTTATTTAGCATTTGTTGAAAACTGCTGAGATGGTCTACAGCCATACCACCCTGAACACACCCAATGTCATCTGAAAATTACTGAGATGACTTATACTTCTAACCCCACTGCCACAACCCACTCCTCCAGTAGAAGATGTGGGGATTGCCAGGACCTAGGGCTTGCCCCCCACTAGCAGTGGACAGACTTTTACTCAGCATATGAGCCCCAGGATGTCCTTGTGAGGAACAGCATTTTTCCAGAAGCACTCTGATCATGTCTAGGTTTTAGACTCTTGGAGGAATTAGACACAAACTTATTACCAGATTAATGTTCTTACAATTTAGTGCATGTGCACCATTCTTCCACTCAAAAGGTCTGAGTTCCTTTCTACTTGATGAACAGAGCCCTGTTTGATTCCTTAGCCTCCATGTTTTTGTTTTTTCATAGATACAAATAAGGGAAAGATATCTAATTTTCTAAATGGTATATACTCTGCCTATTTTCAAAATGATTTCTATTTCTAATCAGTATACTTGAGACTTCTTTCCATATTAATAAATATATTAAACAAGAGCATAATTTATTAATTGTATCTTTACCAACTTTACCAATAAACAAAGGTTTTTTTTATTTGCTTTTCCTATAATAAACAGGATAGCATATTTCTCTGCTTATTAATGTGAAGAACTTTATATGTCACCTTTAGTGCATGAAGGTAGAAGAATTAAGCATTATGGTGTTATTAAAGTATATAATGTATATTCAGGTCAGTTGTCCTTCGTAAAGATAGATAATGTGTTAGAGCCAGGGATTTAGCTCATCGGTTCCACTGCCTGCCTTACAAGTGCAAGGGCCCAAGTTCAATCCCTGGTACCGAAAAAAAAAAAAAGTGTGTTTTAACCAATAAACTACTGAACTTAACTTTTTTTATTCTTTGTAAGAATGGGGCAGGCATTATATTTTATATCCATTATTTATTTAATTTGTAAAATAACCTGATTCATTCATTCAGCCATGAAAGAATTACTGAGCACCAGCCACGTGTCACTTACTACTTTATCTGTCCTCATGGGACTTGTACTAGAGGAAATGACCAATACAGATATAAATAAATATATTAAAGGTAATGTCAGATAGTGAGATGAGCTTGGTTTTATTTTCTAACTCAGTCAAATCTTACATATGAGGAAACTGAGGCTTAGAATGAACCAGTTCTGGCTGGGCGTAGTGATGCAGGCCTGTAATTCCAGCACTCAGAGGCTGAAGCAGGAGGAGCACCTTGAGTCCAAGGCTAGCCTGGCCTACATAGTGAGTTTGAAGCCAGCCTGAAGTACGTAGTGAGACTCTGTCTCAGAAAAAAAAGAAAGAACAACTGAACCAGCTCAGTGTGTCTTCACAGCATAAGTACTGGAATACCCTTGCACTCTTTCCAGCATCGAGTACTAGAGAAGACTTTAATATTTCCTTCATTCATTATATTGCCATCCCTCAGATTATGACTTATTGGCTGCTTACAGAACATGAAAGTTCTCAGTGATACAGACTTCAAAAAGAATCTGCCTACGTTGGGGATTTAGCTCAGTGGTTCCACCGCCTGCCTTGCAAATGCAAGGACCTGAGTTTGATCCCTGGAACCAAAAAAAAAAAAAACCCCAAGAAGAATCTGCCTAAACTAAGGACATTGTCTGGCAATATTAGTCATGAATATATCCAAGATATAAAATTTTTTTATTTGTTTCTTTTTTTGCCTCCAGAGTAACTCTACACACCAAAATGTATTAAGAATACTGATCACAGGGGCCGGGGATTTCGCTCAGTGGTTCGGTGGCCTGCCTTGCAAATGCGAGGACCCGAGTTCAATCCCTGGTACCAAAAAAAGAATACTGATCACCTGAAAATTTTAAATATCTTGTAAAAAAAACTGCTAAATTAGTCATATATAAGTTTATAGCAATTATTTATGGAAATTGATATATATTTTCATATATCAAACAAAGGTTCAATTCCAGTGAAGGGTTCTGTTATTCCTCACCTGCCAAGACGCCATTTTCGTTCCTATGGTCAACTTCCGATGCCCTTGTACTTTGATCTGCTAAATGAAGACTCCTCCCCCCAGTTTTCTCCTGGATGCGCTACCTGTGTGGTACCTTCTGGAACAGGTGTAGTAGTGACATAGAACACCACTGGTACCTGTCCAATCGGAAGAAATATTTCTCAGGAAATGTCTTTTGTAGATCTGAATTCCAAATGATCTTTATGCCCAAAATCATTTTAATAGCAAATCACTGGAATTATATTCACCTTTCTGATCTCCTTACTTTTACTGACTGGGTCCTATTTTGTCATGATACACAGTTTTTATAACTAATTTATAAAATTCAACAACGGTAATTATCCAGAAATAGCAGTGTTCTTACTAAGACACAATGTGCTTTAAAACTCTGTTGATGATTTTGGGCAATAAGGAAGTGAAACAGTATTTAAAAATATTTTATCAAAACATTCTGAACTACTTATGCCCACCTGATACTTTGAATTTTTCAGAAAACTTCAACTTTGACAAATGGATATCCTCACTGAGCAGTGAAACTGACTTCAACACTATTATTTCAGACTTTGAAACCTAAAATACTGTTGCACTTCTTTGAAGAGGAAGAAACATCACTTTCTCTTAATCATTTTTTCGCCTTTGTATAAATTAACTTTGAAGTAATTAAGTTCTTTTCACAGTCTAATAACCAAAAATTTTCAGTAAACAAATTTCTTGATCACTGACACTGGCACTGGATATTTTAATTTATATACTTGAAGGTCCTCGAAAATTTCCCCTGGTGCAAACTGAATCTCTTTTGATGAAAATGCGTTCGGTCGCCAGTGATGAACTCAACACTATGATGCAGAGGAGAATGAGCCAGGAGAACCCCAGCCAGCCCACTGATGCAGAGCTAACACAGAGACTGCAGAGGCTCACAGTCCTGGCAGTCAACAGAATTATTTATCAAGGTAGGATAGTAAAATTAAGTTGTTCTTCCTCAGACTTTGAATTAAAAGAAAAGTCACTTCAGAGGGAATAGATTAGGTTTCAGAATGTTAAACAGCATTATTTATCTGTTCTTAATATCCAAATTATTAAAGGAATTTCTTATTTGGAACTTATAGTTGTGAATAAAAATCTGCTTTTTAATGTATTAAATGCTAGTTTAGATTGACCTTTCATTTTTGAAACAATATAATATCTCCGGTATGTATTTTTTACCTTTTTCTTTTAATTATAGATTCACATGCAGTTGTTAAAGCATAATGTAGAGATCCTTTGTGCCTTTTACCCATTTTTCCCCAGTGAATCTTACAAAATTACAGTACGGTGCTATCACCAGCATAGTGACATGAATATAGTCAAGAAATAAGATGTTCCACCCCTGTAAAGACCCTTCCTGTTTTTCATTTGTCACTATACCCCCTTTGCTCCCACTCCATTTCTTCTTAGCTCCTGGCAACCTCTATTCTGCCCTCCATTTCTGTTTTTGTCATTTCGGGAATTCCATATACTAGATAGTGGTACCTCAGTTCACAAACTTAATTTGTTCTACAATTTTGGAAAACATAGCCACATTTGTGTTTGTGTGGAAAGGATAGCTGTGGTCATGTTTGTTGTCTGATGCAGAGTTTTCAGACAAAAACAAAATTTTGTCAAATGCTCTGTTTGTGAACCAAATTGTTTGGTTCCACAGTAAATAAGTACCACTGTAAATAGAATCATATAGCATGTAGCCTTTCAGGCTTTTTTTGCATGTATCAGTAGCATCCCCCAACACTGGTAGTATTTCATATGGATGTACCACAGTTTGTTTAACCATTAACCTGTGAATGGCACCTAGGTTTTGTCCACTTTGGAATTATTACAAATAAAATTTCTGTCAACACTCATATACAAGTTATGACTTATAACCTATGTACATGTGTAAACATATGTAAGTACATGTATATGTACTATATATGTGAGTACTGTATATATATGCGTGTGTGAACATATGTATGTATATATGTAAGTACATAATATGTACTTATGTGGGAGCATAGTCTTTGTTTTTCTGGGATAAATGCCCAGGGGTACAATTCCTGGGTCATATGGTTATTAATTTAGTGTTTTAAGAAAGTACCATAGTTTTCCACAGTTGTTTTATTAGACTCATTTTCTATCATTGAGACAAAATACTTGACAAATACAATTTAGGGGGAGAGGTTTTTGGCTCACAGTTACAGAGAGTTCAGTCCATGGTTGTCTGGCTCCAAGGCAGAAACAGCATGATGGAAGGAAGCTAGGCCATGGCAGTCAGGAAGCAGAGACAGAGGAGATTGAGGCAAGAGTACACCCTTTCAGGTCACACCCCTGTGACTCCTCTTCTGACCTGGCCTCATCTCCTTATAGCACATTCATCTATGAACTTTCATCAGTGGATTAATCCACCAATAAATATAGTGCCCCCATGATCCAGTTACCTTCTAAAAGCCCTTTGAACACTTGAGATTGGGAGGTGGGATTTTATATCTAAACCTTAACAGTGGCTGTACAATTGTACATTCCCACCAGCAGTATATGATTGACCCAAGTTTCTTTGTATTGCATCACTGTTTGGATTTGTTACAATTTTTTATTTTGGCCATTCTGATAGATGTATAATATCTCTCTGTGGCTGTAATTTGCATTTCCCCAGTGGTCTATGTAAATAATACCTAGAACAACAATAAAAAAGGTACTTAAAAAAATACACTCAAAAGCACCATAATGTTCACACTGCACACAAAAGTAACTATATGAAATGTTGAATATGTTAACTAGTTTCACTGTAGTGGTCATTTGTATATGTATATCGAAATGTCAAGTTGTACACTATTTTTTAATTTTACATTTTAAATATATACATCATAGAACTTCTGTTTGTCAATTGTGCCCCTGTAAAGCTGAAAAAACTTAAACCACTGCGGGTAAGCAAAATGGAATTCTAAAAAATTGTTCAGGTAACCCATAGGAAGGCAAGAAAAAGGAAACAGTAATTGTTAGTCACTAGAAAAACATGAAAAACCCAAGGGCAGTGGTGGTAAACCTTTGGCACATGTGCCACAGTGGGCTCTTTGTTATCATTGAGAGCTTTAAAAGGTTCACCATCACTGTCCTGGGGGTTTTATTTTGTTTTGACTTACTAATTTACATTTGGGACAGCAGGCTCCCAGTCTAAACTGTGAAATTGAACCATGATTATCACATGAACAGCTTTTATTTGGATAGCACATGCATTAAAGACCTTTGGAGATCTATCTAATATATATATATTATATATATATATATATTATATGGTCTTTATGTCTAATTTGTACAAGAATCTTATGGTTTTAATAATTTTGCGATTAATTCCTCTTATTAGTAAGCTAAATCTTTACATTTCATAACATACATTTTTAAATTCCTACATGTTTAGGTGACTTCACTTTTTCTATTGTACTTTCTATAGCACACCTACTACGTGTCTATGGTGATAAATTAATTAGCAGTTACATATTTTTATCAGCATCATTACCACTTGATTATGTATCGGTGATTTAACCCATTTTTATTCTTTTCTTAATTTGAAGAGTTTAATTCAGACATTATTGACATTTTGGGAACACCAGAAAATGGAACTCAAAGCAAGAGCTCAGTGTACCAGACTGAAATTTCTGAGGAAAATATTCATCATGAACAACCTTCTGTTTTTAATCCATTTCAGAAAGAAATGTTTGCATATCTGATAGAAGGATTCAAAGTGTGTATTGTAAGTAAACTAATAACATGAGAAATATTCAAAAGGAGTAGAATTTTATGTGTCTACTTCATATTTCCAAAATCAGATTTCTTTATGCTGTTTGAGAGAGCTTTCTGAAACTCAGGCAACTTCAACTTTTAATACTAGAGTAATATATATTGCTAATTCCAAAACAACTTGTTTCCTGCACCATATGCTTTTAAGTCTGACTCCTGAAAGACATTTTCGAATTTGGTCGTCCAGGAAAATTTGCATCAGAAACAAAGAGGGCTTTGCTGTTTACTCTGAGACTTTAAATTATCAGCCTGTTTGTGAAAGGACTTGTTTATAGTTACACTCTTGCGTTTCTGAATTTCATGAAGTTTAATTTTTGGCTAAATGTATCTAACACCTTCAGAATGAAACAGAGAATGCTGACAGGTGTCAGGCTCCATTTATCATCCCCTCACTTAAGAGCTTCTGTGGGTCACTTAGAGTTGACAATGGGGTAAAATCAGTCCGTTTACTCTGGAGATACCAAAGCCCAATCTAATTTTACCAGAACTCATAAATCATGACTGCCAATCTCTAAATCTAAACTAGATTTTTTTTTTTGGCCATCTCTGAGCAGCAAAACAAACTGGATTGACTCAGAATTAAATAACTCACTCAGGGCCCTTGGAACTAGGAGTGATTGGAAACTCATTACCAAACAGAATAGTACATTCCCACCAACAATGTACGGTTCCAGTTTTAAATCCAAGATAGGTATTTTGATCAGGATCAGGCTAGTGTTAGTAGAACCATAGTTACTTCTTTGTTAACCAGCTAAATTAGTTAAGGAAACCTGATGGTAACTTGGTCTTGTGACTATTATGCTCAATATTATAATACTAGTTAAAGTCTTTATTGTGAATCCTTTCTCCTTTATGTGGCAAAATCAGTGTGGGCTTATCTGCCATTGTTCTCTGATTGTTTTTTGTTTTAATTTTTTATTTACAGTTTTAATTTACAGCTTCTGAGCTATCTGTGATTTTTGGTGTTTTGTTTGTTTGTTTGTTTGTTTTCTTTTTTTGGTACTGGGGATTGAACTCTGGTCCTTCTGCTTGCGAGGCAGGCAGCGGAACCACTGAGCTAAATCCCTGGCCCAGCCATTGGTAATTTTTAAATGTCTTAGGACTTTAACTTTTTCATGTTTTTCTTTTTAAAATTGTGGTGAAATATATATAACATAAAAATTACCACTTTATTATAAGTATATAATTCAATGGCATTTAGTACATTCATATTGTACAACTGTTATCACCATCCACCTCCAGAATTTTTTAATTATCCCTTACTGAAAATCTGTCCCTGTTAAACAATAGCTCCTATTATTCAATATCCAGTAATCATTGTTCTGCTTTGTTTCTATGAACCTATTTTAGACACCTAAGATAAGTGGATCCATATGATACCTGTCCTTTTGTGTTTGGCTTGTTTCATTTAACATAATGTTTTCAAGGTTCATCTATGTTGCAAAGCATGTATCAAAACTTGGTTTCTTTTTAAAAGTCTGGATAATATTCCATTGTACATATATATCTATATTTTTATGTGTATCCATTAATAGACATTTGAATTGTTTCTACCCTTCAGCTTTTTTGAATAATTTTATGAATATTGCAGATCCATCTTTCTTAGACTCCCATTTGTATGTACATGTGTGTATATGTATGTGTATAGCTTTCTAACTTTGAATTTCTACATTTGAATATTAAAACAGATCTATAGTGAAACATATTCTATTATCTTCTTTAGAACTGTGTGAGGTTGGTATATTATTGCTCAAGTATAATCCTAACTCACTCCTATTTTAATTTTTAAGAGTTCAAGTAAAACCAGTGGTTCTAAACAGCAATGGACTAAAATTCTGTGGTCTTGTAAGGAAACATTTCGAATGCAGCTTGGGAGACTACTTGTACATATTTTGTCACCAGCCCACACTGTACAAGAGAGAAAGGAAATATTTGAAATACTGCGTGAACCTAATCATCAGGAAATACTGCGAGACTGTCTTAGCCAATCCTTGCAAGTAAGTATCTTTTAGTAAAATATATAGTCTTTCAAAACAAGTGAATAAACTGTATTTTCATGGCTAATGTCATGAATATAATTTTTCTTACCAAACAAATTTTACTTGATATTGTTCTCTTCAGATGTTTTCATACAGGCTGTTTGATCTCTGCCCCCTCCCCAATCTTTTTCCAGTGCTTAAATTAGGAAGTGCTTTCTCAGAGTTCTTAAGTGAGCCTTTTCAATTTGTTACCATATCTTAAAGTATTTTCTTTAATAACTGTTTGAAGGCATTTTATTGTCTGTAAAACACTTATAGTGAATATTTCAAATAAGAGTTATATACAACTTACTTAAAAAGTGGTCACAGTCAGTTCAAATAGAAAAAAAAATTCTTGATCATTTGGAATAATCAAAACTGAAATACTTAAAAAACTTTCAGAAACTAAATTCTTTTATGAATGTCAGATGAAGTAATTGATGTAACATTAGACTCGTAGAGGACTGTAGTAGCTTCATATAAAATTAAAGATATACTTATCTTGTGACCATATTCTACTATTTTTAGATATTTACCCAAAATAAATTAAAATAAGACTTCTGTAAGACCATAAAAAGACATACAAGAATATCCATTTGCAACCTTTTTCATAATGGCTGACAGCTGGAAATAATGTAAATAACTATCAACAAGAGAGAATACAAACAAATTGTGATATATGTATACAATAGACTAGTATGCAATGATAAAAAAAGGAACGGACTACTGATAGACCTGCTATTATGGCTGAATCTCAGAAACACTTGAGTTGGCTAAAGGTGGGCAGCCAAACCAAAAGAATAAAGTCTCTGATTCAGTTCATATCAAGTCTTAAGAATAAGCAAAACTAAGATATGGTGATGGAATTCAAGACAGCAGTTGTCTCCATGAGAGGGGTGGTGAAAAGGGGAATTGACTGGAAAAGAGCATAAAGGAACTTCCTAGAATAGTAAAAATAAGATTAAATTAGCTTGTTTGGGTGCCAGTTTTATGGTTGTACACATTTGTCAAAACTCTTAGAAACAAACATTATGTATGTTTTATTGTATGTAAATTGTGCCTTAATAAGGAAAGTAATAGATAATAAATTAAAAAGGACAGGCATCCCTTTAATACCTGGAGTCAAAACTATCTTGAAATAATATTTTCATGTACTCTTTTTCAGTGCACTGAGGACATTGTCTTCCTTTCCCCAAGGCTGGAGTGTATAGTTTCAAATAGTCTCATACTTTCCTTCAGTGGAGAATTTGAAGTGTTTTGTTTGTCTGTTTGTTTGTTTCCTTTATACTTAACAGACTTGCCGTTCATCACATCCAACACTGGTGTTAACGATCCACATCTCCACATCTGCTTTCCTTCTCTGCTCTGCCTCTTTTAATATTATCACTATTGATTTCAATTTCAAACATTGGCCTGTGGTTGACTTTTTTTTTTCTCTCTCAAATCTATTTCATCACCTTGGCCATTTATTCCCAGTGTCTTTCCAGTCCATCCATTTCTCTGCAGACTAGTCCGGACTCTTGCTCCGTACCCTTGGTTCATTGTAATAACCTTCTTTCTACCTTCACACCAAATGAGTGTTCTTGATTATTTTAAAGCTTATTATGGAAATTTTTAAACATACTTCAAACTTGAGAGAATAAAAAATGGACCTTACATGACCATTACCCAGGTTTAATTTTTCTTTGTAGTATTTTGAAGTAAATCTCAGGTAATAAATCATTTCACATATAAATACTTTAGAACTCATAAAGACCTTTTTTTAATTTGCCACTCTCAATAATAGTAACTAATTTTTTATGATCACCTAAATACCAACTCTGTGTTGAAATTTTCCCAGTATTCCTATAATTGTTTTATAGTTAGTATTATTGATCCTGCATCCAAACAAGGCCCACATAGTATTTGTTTGGTATGTCTCAAATATTTTTAATCCATAGCATTTCTCCTCTTTGACCCTTTTTTCACTATCATTTGCTTATTAATGAAATAAGGTCATTTGATCGTTATCATTTCTAACATTCAGATTTGACAGATTGTGTCCTTGTGTCTTAGATTCTAATTCTTGATTTTATATGTTTGTGTGAATTCTTCTTAAGGGGGTGCTTTAGTGGAAGTACTTTGTATTTTCTCTTGCATCACAGTGGGAGACATGGAATGTCTAGGTACCCTGCTTTTCAAAGATGATATCAACCTGATCGATCCATTTTGAAATTTGCTCTGTCTTTAACCTAATAGTATTAGCAGGTATTGGTAATAGTTTCCAAATTCCATTTTTCAATAGGAGGTACACAACAGTGAGTTCCCTGAATCTTTCATAGATATTAAGAAAAATATGAGTGTCACAATTATCTTCTCCTCTTATCTTCTTTATAGATTTGTTTTTCTACTAGTTTTTTTTTTTTTAAGTGGGGATCAAACTCAGGTCCTTGCACTTGCGAGGTTTCTACTAGTTTTTTGCCAACAAAAACCACATTGCAAACTGACATAGTGGCCTAACCACCACAAACAAGGACTAATTCTAGCTAGGTAAAAGCTAAGTAATTTTTCTTATGAGAGACTTGTCTTCATGGAGGGAAGGAGGCAATAGGTTGCTATCCATCTCCACTAGGAGAATACACAACAAGTGAAGGCATTCCAAAATTATCTGGAGCAATCTTCAGAGTTCTTTTAATGCTATGAACAAGACAAACATAATAGCTTCGATTTTAAGGAAACTGAGAACTCAGCAGTAAGGTGTGAACATGGAAAGGAACATTTAAAAATGCACTAAATATACTAGTAACTCCAGTTATTTTCAAAGGTCAGACTTTAAATTCTATTCAAAAGTCTATCTCAGCTTTTTACTTTTATCTCTTTTAAATGAGCTGAAGCTAGCTATATAAAAAGATATGGGGCCTCAACTTTTACTCAAAATTTCCTAAAAATTTGCTTCTAAAAATTATTAACGGGCCAGGGATTAGCTCAGTGGTACCGTGCCTGCCTTGCAAGCACCAGGTCCTGAGTTTGATCTCCAGTACCACCCAAAAAAAAAGTATTAGCAAATAATCCAACTGGAGTACCTTCAGATGATATGGCAGGTCAGATTAACTTGTTTTCACATTAATTCATTTTACAAGTCTTCTGAAATCTCTGCCTCTTAATCTAAATGAAAACTTTCTGATATTTTAAAGTTTAGTTAAGATTCTAGCATTATAAATTCAAACTCAATACTGCCATCTGTTACCTTCTATTTAAAAGGTAATAGCTGAATAAAAATACATTCCAAGTTATTGGCTTATTCTGAGGAGTTAATATAGTTCCTATTAGAGGCTCTTTTCCAGCATCAACGCTGTACCCAAAACCATCATACTTCATTACGGACATAGTGCTTGACCCATCAGAGAGATACACTCTGATTTGAAAACCCTTCTGTGGATGTAAATGATAAAGCTTCAAGTCCTCAGAAGGAACTCGAATATTAACTTTATGTGTAAAGGCATAAACTGATAGTTGAAGAAAGATTTGCCACAGTCCACTGATACTTTTTGACCCAATACAATGAACTTCATGCTTTGTGTGATATTCTGCAAGAAGAAATACCTTCTCGGTACTGGCATGGAGGCTTCTCCCAAGAATTAATTTTAAAAGGTCTCTTCAAACTTGTCAGACATAGGACCTTTTTCATACAATGCAGATATAATAGACTGTTTCATCTACTTTTAATTCATACTGATCATCATGCTTTACTTTCATACATTTGCTTGTGAACTCACTGCTAAACATTTTTGGTAACTCACTCTTGAGTCTGGCCTTCCCTTCATCAGGGTGATCATTGACAGAGATCACTGTGTCATACATACTTTCACCAATATTTGCATAAACAAGCCTTCAGTTCAGCAGCTATATTGTTTTTCTTTTTTTTTGTACCGGGCATTGAACTCTGGTCCTTGCAAGACAGGCCCCCGAACCACTGAGCTAAATCCCCAGCCCCTAAGCAGCTATATTTAAAATAATGATTTTCTAGCCCTCCATGGGATGTTTTGATTCTAAGCTTGGATCATTAGTGTTTTTAATAATTATATCTGAAATTTTTAAAGAATTGGAAAATGTAGGAATCTGTATCTTCTGTATCATCAATCTATCAAAAGTAGTGTTTTGGGAGGTGTCAGCCTGTGGGACCAAAGATGTATTGCTGACTGCTGAGTCTGGACTGGAGCTAATAGTGTTATCATCATCTGTAATCTCCTCTTCTTCTTTGTCATCTCCTGTTAACATAATACTGTTTATTACCTGCTCATTCTGTACAAGTGAGTAGATTACAGAGGCAGTATGATTTATAAGAACTGATACTTGGTCGTGTAGTAAGTGATGTCTGATTTAATGTTGAAGAGTCATATATATTGGAGCAGAAGACTCCAGCAATTTGTTGCTTCCTTGTGTCTGGTTTCTATTTGCCTGAGTGACAGGAGTGGGAAGTTTCTAACTAGGTGAGATATTTGTTAAAGGGAAACAACTAATGTTAGTAAAAGGTGCAGAATGTGGAATAACAACAGGGCCAGTTATGTTGGACCTTTGTCACTGCATTGTTAGTCAATTAAGTCTTCTTTGCAAGCAGAATCTCAGAGCAGCAAAGGGTATCGTCATCATCATCATCATCATCATCTGACAGTAATAATGATCTTTTTATTTCATAATCTTCAGCAGATAATGAAAAGTACTGTTATAATAGGCATTATAGTGGCCCATTACCTTAGGCTTGCTTCATCTTTCAATTATTATATTACAAGGTTTTTGTCACTACAACCAAGAAGTAAGGATTCAGTATTATCATTCTGAGCTATACCTGAGATGCTTTTAATCTGTGTCAACAGGACACAAGCTCTGCTGTAAGTTTTACTCTTATAACTGTCCTGATTTAATTAACTCATCAGCTAAATCTGCTCTATCACAGACAATTTTAGAACTATAGATGTAATTCAGAATTTCTGCTCCTGCAA